TACACCCGCTGGGCTACACCATGCTGGGGGGTTCAGGGCACAGTGCCTTAGGGGAAGCAGCGCCCCAGGGAGTTCAGGGCATGGTGCAGCTGAGCAGCTGCAAGCCACTGGCATTGGCCACTCCCAGAGCAACTGCAGCAGGGGCTGCGGTGAGTGGGGCCCTGGCCCCATGGCCTTTCCCCTCTCCTCACCCCTCCCCTCAACTCACAGCCCTTTCCCCTCCCCTCACAGACTTACCTGCTTGGGGTAGTGAGGAGCGCACCTATGCCAATTGTATAACAGTGAATTTACCTCGCATATAACGAATTTCAGGTGTAAATAGGGTCATCGCATAAGAGTGAATTTGTATAAATCAAACCCACATAAATCAAGGGAAACCTATATAAAGGCAGAGTATCAGGTCATGAGGATGAGGTCATTTGTCTCTTTCAACAGGTGGAGGTGCTGCACAGATACTTTTTTTTTAAGCCTTACAAAGTTTGGAAGGGAATGATTCTTCAGCTGTTGCTTTTTGCACTCTCTCTGGTATAAGAAGTAATAAAGAAACTGGGTTTTATGATGTATATGTGATATGCAGTCTAAAAAAGATATTCATTTAGGACCTAGCAAGATGCTGAGCCCTCTAATTATGGTTGATTTCAAAGGGAAATGAAGACACTCGGTATTTTACATGGGTAGGACTTTACTGCTGAATTTGACCATTATAAAATAGAAAATGCAAAACAATACTTAGTAACTTCAAACCAAAACATTATAAACAATATAACATAAGATTCAAATGTTAGTAGTTACAGCATTGGGCCCGTATAGGATTAGTGCTTACTGTAGCACTAAGCACCATTCTTGGTAGTGTATGCAAGACTGTGAGCTACATTTGTTAATTTAAGAAAGCCCAATCCATTCTTTTCTCTTTCATCCTGTGTCTGCGACCAGGCGTGTGGTCACTGGTCCTTTGTGCTTTTGTGAGAATGGAATTCCTAGTTCAGTCTTGATACAGTAGCAGTCATTGTGGTGTAACACCACCGTCGCACATATAGGCAAATGCTGTTCTGCTGGTGAAAATGATTGCCTGTATTTTTCTTGATTTGATTTATGTCCTAAGGCCAGATTGTCTTCACTATGTACAGCAGAACCTTATTTCTCAAATAATCCCATAGAGACAAATGGGACTACTTTTATGATAAGGTACTACTCCATGGAACCTCAATGAGTAACACATATTCTGTACGTTTATGATATAGGCTGTGTTGACATTTATCTCAAATCTTTTTCTTCTCTTTAACTTCTTTAGAGCTAGTCATTCAAAACCAGATACACTTGGTGGTAGAAAATGTGGGTGAGACTGAAAAAAGTTGCTTGAAATGTTGTTTAAAAATTCACTTAATTCTAGTACATGAGATCAACAGCTCCAGTTACTGTCTCTGAATCTTTAGATTTTGAAAAAGGAAAATCAAATCCAGCAAGCCTTATTAGTAAGACATTCAGGAAATGCACTAAGGAGCAAACTAGGATGATCCAAAATGAATTTGAAAATTGTTCGCTGTTAGTTTTAAATATAAAATTTCCTTCTTTATAATTTGCAATTTTCTCAGAGAGGTGATGAATTTTGACTTCTGAAGAAAATAGTATCATGATGAGACAGCCGCAAGACCCTGAAAGAGAGAACAAGAAGTATCGCTGTTCTGAAACTTCCATAGCAACAAATCTGTACAAGGTCATATTCAGCATGTTTCCACGATGTGTGTTGTTTTATTTTTTTTTTGGTCACTAAACTTACTCTTTACTCAACCCTCTCCACTCAAGCCTTTCTTTTACTTTTTAAAGGATCTGATCTAATGGCCCACTGAAATCAGTGGGACTTTTTTTTTTTTAACTGAATCCTGGATTAAGACATACTGGGCATGTCTACATGTGTGCTTTAATTCAGATTAGCCTATTTTAATGCTCATTAAAGCATCATATAAAAACCCAAGCGCTTTCATTAATGCACATTAAAATAGGCTAATGCACCTTTTTCTAGTACCTCACAATGGAAGTACTAAGTGTAATGGCATTATCAAAAGCACATTAATGACCATGTAGACACTCCCACTGGGTACATCCACATGTGCTTTATTGCGAAGTAGATTAAGTAACACTTTACTATGAAGCTAATATCTAGACATGTGCCAGTATTAGGGTGCAATAAATTAATTAATTCTGCCATAAGATAGTACTGTTGGGGACAGTATTATCTTACAGTAGAGTAATTAACTGCACTGAAATGCATGTGTAGATGTTGACTGGGCAGGGGCCAGACTCTCCGTCAAGTCCGTGACAGGGTTTCTCCCTCTCACCCATAGCAACTGCTTGAGTATCCTGGCTTCTTCCTTCTCATTGCTCTGGCAGAGTTCCCACCCCTATAGCTGTTGGCAGGGAACTGCCTCCCTGGCCTCAGCTTAGATTTATATATAGGTCAGGCCCTGCCCCCTTCTGGTCAGCTGACCAACTGCGGTTGCCCCAGCAACCAGCAGCTGTGCCTCTTTATAGGAGCAGAGCACTGAGGTGCTCTGTGACACCCTGCCACGTGGAGCCTGGGGCTGATTCTCCCGTGCCTCCTGCCAGCCTAAGCTTGCTCTTCCCTGGTTCAAATTGCTGCTGCCTTGGGCACATGTGTAGATGCTATCCCCAGGAGCAGTTTACTGTGACTTGAACTGTTCCAGAATTTATGCTTCACCTTAATTTTATGTGTAAATGCACCCACTAGGTATTAAGTCTGCTGTAAAGCAATGATCCACCAAAACATCTATACATTTGCTTATCTTTAAGACTGTTAAAGTTGCATTGAAGACGGCAGAATTGTCCAGGTGCTTCAAGTGATGGTAGGTACTTAAACACTTTCCTGGATTAGTGCCTTAATGAGCAACATCCATTAACACAACTGTTCATTTTCTCTTTGTGGAACCAACAACAAAAACAGTTTTACTGTTTGTCTCATCCTCTCCTTTGCAAGCAGCAGAGGAAGCGGAAAGGTTTTTTTTGTTTCTTATGGTGATGTTTTCCAAAGGCAGCCCTTAAAACAGGGGTGGTGAAAATACAGCCCATGGGTCACCTGTGGCCTACCAACTGATTGTATCTGGCCCACGACTGCCCCCATGGTGCTCTGCATGGGGCCAAGCCCTGCCTGCACCTGGCACTGGCCCCAGCCAGTGCACACAGCTTCCAGCAGGGCTGTTCAGGCTGCTGTTGCAGCTGTCTGGATACTGCTTGACCTCCAGCAGCTCCTTCTCCTTTTTCTCCTCCTCATGCCCCTGCTGCACCCTTCCAGGCAGGATAATGCGGGGACATGGAGGGAGCCATGGGGACATATGCTGGGCACCACATGCCCACCCAGGTGAGGGGAAGAAGCTGCATCTGGGTGGCTCCTGTCCCAGCTCGTGGGGCTCCAGCTCTACTCCCACCTACCTAGTGGAAAGAACAACCACCTGCAGGTGGAGGGGTGGGTGGAAGGCAGCTGGAGTGGCACAGCAGAGACAGGAAGAGGAGCTGCTGGAGGTGGCGGGGGGGAGGGGGAAGGGAGGAGCTAAGCAGTATCTGGGCAGCAGCTGGAGTAGCCCCACCAGAAAGCTGTGCATGTTGATTGGGGCTGGGGTGGTACTGTCGGTGGGGGTATGGGGTGGGTGCAGGTAGGAGCATGGTGCGGGCTGCCTTGGGAAGGAGCGGGCAGGGCTTGCCCACATAGAGGATTGTGAGGGCAGCCACAGGCTGGAATTGGGTTGTGAACTCTGCCTGCACCACACTGTTGAAGTAAGCTGTATTGTACATGCCCCTGCCCCTGCCTTTCTCCTTTCCCCTGACCCCTGGCTGGCTCCCAGGACTTGGCATGCATGCAACCCCACACCCCTGCCACACATGCACAAACCCTCTCCCCACCCTGCTACACAATATACTTTATTTTGAGCTATTATGCAATTGCCTCTACATATACTACTTTAAAAACGTGTAAATCGTGGCAAAAATATTTTTTGAAATAAAATTAAACTATTCTAAAAATCAAACGTGTACTACAACATATGATTTGTTCTTCATCTATAATTTGTTAAAATGGTATCTTCTGAAAGATTTTGTGCACAGCCTTTGACAGTTCACCAAAATGTATTGTGGCCTGCCAGCCAAAATGATTGCCCACCTCTGTCTTAAAAGTATTGTAATGAATCTGTTCCTTACAAAGATTGAATTGGGCCTGGGACAAGAAAGATCTGGAATAAACAGAAATAACTAGTGAAATTTGTGGTATTTCACCAAAAATGAGACCATTTGTGAAAACTGGTAAAAATTAGATCAGAATCTGGCCTGTGGTTCTTGCTAACAAGATATTGGCACAGGACTTGATGCTCCTGCAGTTGTGAAATTCAGCTGAATTAGATTAAATTATGCATGGGAATAGAAGTGGGAAGTGAGTGGGAGAATCAAGCCCCAAGACTCTGGGTGTGTTTCCCAAAAGGATGCTGTTTTGAAAGAGGGCATAGGCATTACAGTGCACACGCTCTCAGTATTTGGCAGTGGATGTTAATCAGCTGTTTGTAGGGCACATGCCTATTGTAAAACATCATCTGTATGTTTAGAATGAAGAAAATGTTGCTAGTATATTGCTAACATTTTGTTTTTTGTAATTTTGTGTCTTCACAGCAGTCCATATGTATATTCTGAAACTCGACACCTTAAGTTCCATCACCTTACTTTTGTGCTTAAGGAACTGCATGATTTTCCTACATTGGCATGATTTCTCAGGCTGAGATTGGCTATACACATTTGCGCAATAACTCTTAGAATGGATTAACACTATCACAGCCTACTAAAATCACAGATTGCTACCACTTCATCTCTATGTGCCTTATCTATGATTAAAGCCAATGGAATTCCATACATATTAGATTTTCAGGAGAGCTGATGGAAAAAATGCCTACAATATAAGTTTCCATCAAAATTTACAGAGCCGTGGAAAAAATCTGTGTTCTGTGGAGATGGTCCAATTTCCCACAGTTTTACTCTAGAAATTGGAAGAGTTTTAACAGAAATTGTCTGACTTCCTATCAGGATGTTTACACTAGGGACAGAGGTTACACATAAACTGGTTTACATGATCAGAAATTAGTTTAAACCTGTAACAGAGCAGAAGTTCAGTGCACATAAACCAGTTTCAAAATGGCTGAAGCTGGTTTAAGATAAACCTGGTTGAATGTAGTATCAGACTTAATTGATTTGGGCCAAACCAGTTTATGAAACTTCTGTCTCAGGCCCTTTTTAATTCAAGTTAAATCACAGTCCCCCTCACAGTGAGGGCTGGCTGACAAGTAAGTGTGGGGGAGAAGGCAAGCTTAGCTGGGGATGCAGCCTAGTCTTCAGGGGGTGGGGATTGCCCCCTGCCAGGCAAACCCCATCTGGGGCCAGAGAGGGGGTTAAACACCCTTTCTCCCACTCAAACTTACAGTTGGCTGTGGCTGTGGACTACAAATCCCACAGGCACCTGGAAGCAGGAAAAGGAAATAATAAGCAAACCTGCAGAGTCCTGCTGCTGTAATTCTGGACTGAAAATCCCAGAGACCTTGGGAACAGCAGAAAGAGGAAGTGAACACACAGTCAGAGAGCTGTGCTCTAGAACCCCCCCCCCCCCCCCGGCTTCTGGCCTGAGCCGCTGTAGACATATGGCTGCATTTCCTGAATCAAAGGTAAATATCTGTTCACTTCTGTTTCGATTTAATCTTTGCATCTTAGACTAACCTGGAAAGATGGAACAAATTCAGCCTCAGGCTTTTTGACTGTTGTGATGGCCAGAACCAAATAAATTAATAAGCAATAAATATGTGCTTCTTGGAGACATTTGTCTAATATGAAGCTTGTATTTTTGTAAC